GCTGCCCGCGGTCCGGCGCCCTCAGGCGCGGCCGCTCCTGTGGTCAAGGACGTTGCGGTCTGGCGCGCTGAGGAAACGGCCCGAGAAGGGCCTCATGCTGCCCCGCCAGGGCGGCGGAGGCGAGAGCGGCTGCTGTCCGCGCCGGCCTCCCCAAGGGCATCGTTGCTGATGCTCCCTGGCTCGCGGTCCTCGTTCCCGTCTGTCCCTCAGGCAGAGGTTTTGGTCCCTCCTTGAGGGTCTCACCCTTACTCTGATCCTTGCTCCGTTGTTCCCTAACAAATACAGCCACATAACTCTCGTCGTCCAGATCCCATCTGGACATAGCAGCTGCCACAAAGACCCCATCATGATTTACACATATCAGTTATTATAAAATTATGACTTGTGTTTTGCAACTCCAAGCGCTCAAGGATCACAGTGGTAGATTTGGGCAAAATGGCACCTTGGGAAGCACGGGATCTCTGCGGCTGCTTCCATGTCCCTCTTTGCAGCTACTTCTTGTACTTCGGAATGGTGTTTTTGTGGTTCTTTTAAGATTCCTCACTAGACTAAACAACCGTTTTGTTTTGTTTCCTTCTAGGTCACAGAGTCAGAATTTCTTAACATTCGTAATGCTTTTCTCTCGCCTTTACCTAATGAGCTGATACTTTTCTTGAAGTACCCAGGCTGGAAACACTGCTCATGAGGAGGACTGACCAGTGCTATTTAGGAGGCAGGGAGGATTAATGCATAATACTTCTATGTCCCTTTATAGTATCTGCTTTTTTTCCTCAACAGCCTAACCCTGTGACTCACACTATGATTCATTACAATGCCTAGATCCATTTCTGGACAAGTTTTTGTTATTTACAGTCCAAAGTCCTTAGAATAACACACTGCTTTTGTCCTTCTCAAATGGCGATACTGATTTTACTTCTATAACTGGGACTAAAACATCTGGTTTTACAGCCTAATGCTTTTACTGTGTAGGAAAATCTGGCTTTAGTGACGTGTGATTTTTGTGGGGAAAAAAATGACATCAATTATAACTATTTGCTCTCTTAAGGCTGATGCTGTTAACTGTGGCTTAAGGTTTAGCTTTGCAGGCACTTTGCAGATACAAACGCAGTGCACGGAAACTGTTTTAATGCTCAGAATATGTGAGGAGGTGAAAAGGATAAAAGGTTTTTCATGCGGCCACATGTAATTCATTAGTCTGAATTGATAGCAGTGTCTCTTTTGGATAATACCTACGTTTTAGTCTGTGAACCTGTAGTAAAAGGAACGCTCATCCACGATCTACTGACAGAAAGTGTCACCAAACCGATGTGAAACAGATGCCTCTAATCATGATCCTTTTCCTTCACCAGGAGGTGTCTGTGGATTTTTATCCCATATTGTCTTGATTCTACCTATAAATCCATTGCCATTACAGTAGTGGTCTTGGAAATGCTGTCACTTCTCTGTTCAGTCGAGGTGAATGGTATTAGCAGTGCGTGACAGCCCAGGAAACATTCCTATAGTATAAGACAGGAATTCTTGTCTCAAATAAACGAACACAGCTTTTTAAAAGTCTATGGAGATTGTAGTATAAATTATGAATTGATTTAAGATTGTTCCCTCACAGTTTATGGGACAATTAATTCTCTCTTTCTGTCATCTTTAGAGGGTAGCTAGATGCAAATACAGTGTAATATCTTTCTACCCTAATGATGTTAAGTAAAGCTAGATTTCGGTATCAGTTGTCTGAAGTGTGAGATAGACAAAATTACATATCAGAGAGTATTAAATCCTTGCAAACATTTTGTAAATCTTTCAGAAATTCCTAATCCAAACCCTAAGCTAAAATAAATTACTGTTTTTATTATTTCTTTGATTAATTCTCCTGATTAAATCTTCTGCCTTACCTTTATAAAACACACTCACAATGGTATTTTGATATAGAAACTGAAGATCTGCATCATATTCGAATTGCCAGCTTGCATTTGACAAAAATGCCCCATCTTGTGGCCACAGTGGTGTAGGAAGGACCATGCAGATGCACAGGAAATTTTGGGCAGCGCCTGTTAACTGCATGAGAGGAAAGCTCAGCCCTTCCTCAAGGGTTGGCTGCAAAACTACTTTATGCAAAGTACTGCCACAATTAAACCTACTGGTTCTCATTATCCTCTTACTCTCTGTGACACTAAATGGGAACTACTTGAGCCAAATGGTTATGAGAACAGAAATTGATTCCTGATGTGTTTCCACTGTCAATTCAACTTGTCCTTTCTTGCTTTCCAGGCCCTGGTCCCCTAATGGAAGTTCACTCTGCCCTTCCCTCCTGGACCAAAGCCAACGGATGCCTTCCAGGAGGAAATCTGGGAGGAAATCAGGAGCGCAGCCCAATTCTGTAGTGCAAGTCCCATCGAGTTTGCCTCTCTAAAACGCTCTTCCAGAGCTATTCTGGTAAGCCAAGTGCCCTCCAAGGTCTTCATGCCTTGCAGTACACAGCCTCAGGGTCAAGCTCTGTAAATACCCTTGTGGCAGGATGCCACAGATATTTTGAACTAAGAAGCCTCAAACATTTTTGATAATTATATCCCAGGCTTAGAAGGGCATTGTGTGGGGCTCCAAGGAGACTCTGCTTTAGTGCTAAGCAGTGTGGACATACTTGTCTGCTTGCTGATAGTCCAGAGGGATAAGCATGCTCTGTTGTGCAGACACTATCAGCTGTGGATAGAACACTTCCCAAGGAAGAGGAATTAGAATCCCTCGATACAGTTCCAAGAGCTGTACTCAAAAAGAACAAACTAAATGGTAGTCCTTGGAGAAAGAAAAATAAAAAGGGATCTGATTGCAGAAGGTAACTGAAAAAAAACTTTACTTAACAGTGTCTAGAACCAGTATCTATTTAGCAATGAATAAAAAGTTCCATTCATTGGAGTGTTCAATGGGCTGGATAATGCATGCTCTAAGTCATTAGGGCTCTATAAATCAGTTTGAGTTTGCTGGGAATCAAGATCTGCATGTTTCTCAGTAGAAGTTAATGTTTTAGTGCGCCTTAAAACAAGAGCAGAGCAGTTCCTGGCCTGTTCCGGAGCTGCAGGCCTGAGGATGTGCCGAGAGGCAGTCAGGTGTCCGTCGCGGCAGTGCACACGTGTGTGCATGCGCACACAGACCCTCCTGCTCTTTGCCTCTGAACACAGTCCAGAGACGCCCGTATCTTGGAGCTATCCCTCTGTGTTAAGTAAAACCAACACACATCTCGAGCTAAACTTTCTCCTGGGTGTTCCCAGATAACGCCTCTTGCACAAATTCACTTCTCTGTCCATTCTCCCTGTTCCCAATATATTTACTTTCTGTGCTAGCCTTGTGTCTTTTATGTTGATGCTCACAGGTTTCACACAATATTTGCCTGGGCATTTTGCAAAGGATTCACTACATCTGAGTGTTGTTTCTAGCTCTTGTTACTAGGGGGAAGTTGTTGTCCTCACTGTCGAAACCTGAGAGCCCAGCCCAGTCTCTGTCAGAGGTAAAATGGTGTAAGAATCTGCCTTGCAGACAGGGACACATCCTGCTAAGGGAGGTCCCTGAAGCTGCTTCTGCTGAATTCATTTCTCCTTGCTGAACTGGTAGCAGGCAGGTAGAAGCAGAGGCAGGAATCTAGTCACTTGAGCTTGCAAGTCATGCCTGGCAATGACCTCCACAAAGGCAGGCACTTCGCTAAATGCTTCACTTGCATGTTTTTAGTCCTGCTGCAGTAAGTAGGACCCACGTTAGATTTTGGGGCTTAGACGGGGAAAATATTGCTGAGCTGGCTCTGAGAACAAGTTAGACAAAATACATTAGCATTTGGTCTTGCTGATGCTGACTGAAAATAACGGTACTCTTAACTCCAGGAGTCCACTGGGGCTGTCCCTCCAGAGAATCCTTGTCCCAGGTTCCTCACCTGAACTGGCTGCAGGGCTGACAACTTGACAAGTTTCCCTTCTATTTCTCTGGGTAAGAAAAGCTTCAGACTGACGATGGAGAATCTCGAACTTCCAGTGCTTGCAAAGCTGGCACCTTCCTGACGAATTCACTTGAAAACAAAAGAAAAAAGTAGATTTATAAGGAAAAGAGGGACTCCAGTGAATTGTGTGAGAATGAGATATAAAACTAACTGTTTTTCTTTTTTCCTTTGAACTGAACCCAGGAGTCTCAGTAAAGTTTACCCTATTTAAAGCATTAATTAGGGAGCTGACTGTACATAAAGATAAAACAGAACTCTTACGAAAGTCTCCAGGGACTGCAAAAAAACCAGTTTTGTCTACATGAGGCAAAAGAATTTTAATTAGAAGCAATCGAATTGAACTGATATGAGCAACAAAAAGAGAATTTATCCCACAATGTATTCATGGGACGTAATTGAATGTTCATTAGCTAAGAGTTATATACTGACTGTTAATGAGCAGAAATGAATATGTATTATTTCTTATTAAGCTGGAAATGTATGGAACTAATTGCATTTAAATATAGTAGCTATAAAGCTCTGTTTATTAAGTGTCACTGCCAAGAACAGGAAGGCACGTAGGTGAATTTGCGTTCTTTACCATGGCTTCATTTTAAATATTTATCTTGCTAAGTGGTTTCAACACACTGCTTTTTGTGGAAGGGGTTATTACACTGTGCTAGCAGCAATGCCTTCGTGTGGGGAGGCCTGATGCTTTGTGTGCCAGAAGACAGGGGAGGCACCGCAGCCACGCAGTGCCGAGGTGCATGTGGGTCAAACACGAACACCAAGTTGAGTTCAAATTATTTGCATGTTGCCTCTTCCTTCCTTCAGAGAAAGTTCTTAGAGCTGCTCGCAGGAGACAGGCAGGAGGCTGTTTCCTCATCCCCTGTTGTGTCTGTTAATCCCAGAGATGAGGATGTGCCGCGCTGTGCGGCAGCAGCAGGGCTGCAGCTCTGCCCGCGCTCGCGGGAGGGCGGTGGCTGCCCGCTCATCCCCCCGCAGGCTCCGCGCTGGGCA